TCTTTCTATTTTTAGTAGAGACGGGGTCTCGCTCTTGCTCAGGCTGGTTTCGAACTCCTGAGCTCAAACAATCCGCCCACCTCGGCCTCCCAGGGAGCTAGGATTACAGGCGTGAGCCACCGCGCCCGGCCAACGCCTAGGTTTTTGACAGAAGCACCTGGCAGGATGAGGTTTCCATTCATTTGTCCAGAAAATACCTTTGAGTTGCCTCCTCTGTGTGCTGCTTCATAGGACAGTGAACCAAACAGACAACGACCCTTCCTGCACGAGCTGACATTGCATGAATAAACTTTTTGCCTTAAGCCCGACATGGTGAAGATGGAAGAAGGGTTAGACAGACAGACGACAGTTCTGTGGCAGGCAGGACTGTCCTCTCACCAAAGATGGGACATCAAGGCTCCTCGGGGCTTCCTGTGGCCACCTCGCAAGCCGCTCTTGTTCCCGTGTGTTCCCATGACCTGGTATCCATGTCTCCCTCAGTTTGGGAGCTTCTCTCCGAGGAGGGCCCGGGCCTGGCTTGGCACCAGCTGTGTGACAGGGCCATGTCTGAAGGCCTCTTGGGGGAGCCGGGGTACGGAGGAGGTCTGCCCGGGGGTTTGTTGCCGTGTCCCAACCCCATCCTGTCTCCCCTGACAGCGGCTGATCGACAAGACCAAGGTGACGTATCTGAAGTGGCTGCCTGAGTCGGAGAGCCTGTTCCTGGCGTCGCATGCTAGTGGCCACCTGTACCTATACAACGTCAGCCACCCCTGCGCCTCAGCCCCGCCCCAGTACAGCCTCCTGAAGCAAGGCGAGGGCTTCTCCGTCTACGCCGCCAAGAGCAAGGCGCCCCGCAACCCACTGGCCAAGTGGGCGGTGGGTGAGGGGCCCCTCAACGAGTTCGCCTTCTCGCCCGACGGCCGGCACCTGGCCTGCGTCAGCCAGGACGGCTGCCTGCGTGTCTTCCACTTCGACTCCATGCTGCTGCGGGGGCTCATGAAGAGCTACTTTGGGGGCCTGCTCTGTGTGTGCTGGAGCCCTGATGGCCGCTACGTGGTGACAGGTGGCGAAGATGACCTGGTCACCGTATGGTCCTTCACGGAGGGCCGCGTGGTGGCCCGGGGCCACGGCCACAAGTCTTGGGTCAACGCCGTGGCTTTTGACCCCTACACGACTCGGGCGGAGGAGGCGACAGCAGCAGCCAACGGTGACGCGGAGCGGAGCGGCGAGGAGGAAGAGGAGCCTGAGGCCACGGGCACAGGCTCAGGCGGGGCGGTCCCGCTCTCCCCGCTGCCCAAGGCTGGCTCCATCACCTACCGCTTCGGCTCGGCAGGCCAGGACACGCAGTTCTGCCTGTGGGACCTCACTGAAGACGTGCTGCACCCGCACCCGCCCCTGGCCCGCACCCGCACCCTCCCTGGCACGCCTGGCACCACACCGCCAGCTGCCAGCAGCTCGAGGGGTGGCGAGCCTGGCCCGGGCCCCCTGCCCCGCTCACTGTCCCGCTCTAACAGCCTTCCGCACCCGGCGGGCGGTGGCAAGGCAGGTGGCCCTGGTGTGGCCACGGAGCCAGGTACCCCGTTCAGCATCGGCCGCTTTGCCACACTCACGCTGCAGGAGCGGCGGGACCGCGGGACCGAGAAGGAGCACAAGCGCTACCACAGCCTGGGCAACATCAGCCGGGGCAGCAGTGGGAGCGGTGGCGGTGGGGACAAGCCCAGCGGCCCGGCCCCCCGCAGCCGCCTGGACCCCACCAAGGTGCTTGGCACCGCACTGTGCCCACGCATCCACGAGGTGCCCCTGCTGGAGCCCCTCGTGTGCAAGAAGATCGCCCAGGAGCGGCTCACGGTCCTCCTCTTCCTGGAGGACTGCATCATCACCGCCTGCCAGGAGGGCCTCATCTGCACCTGGGCCCGGCCGGGCAAGGCGGTGAGTCCCCCACGTCGGCTTGCCTGGGGCCCAGCAGGACCTTGGCGGGAAGAGGCAGGCATTGGCAGAGAGAGGGCATTGTCCCTGTCACAGCCTCTGGCTCTGTGGGATGAGGGAAAGTCATGGAAATTTTAGCGTCCCAGAACAGGACCTCTCAGATCTTAGAGTAAGGGCGCAGGCAGCAGAGAGAGGGTCGGTGTAAGCGACAGCTGCCCGCTGCCGTGGCGGGGCCCCAGGCCAGCGATCTGAAGGGCAGCCAGCAGGCCCAGCAGGGCCACTGCTTAGCACCTGTTACTTGAGGCAGAATCTATTCTATGCAAAGTCTGGCTTTTAAACAGTGAAGCTTTTTTGAGTACTTCAGGCCAAAGCCCTGGGAGCGTGGCTTCCAGCCTGGGGCTTGGCCCCTCGAAGGGTCGAAGCCTGCTGCTGAAGGCTGGCTGGGAATCAGAGGCCTGGGTTCCTCCCACCCCGTGTGACCCAGGGCAGGTCACCACACCTCTCTGATCTCCGACTAGTCACCTCGTACAACAGAGAGCCTTTAAGATGGGCAGTGGGTGGCTGTGCCTGCCTCCTGGGTGGCTGCGAGGTTCGGAAGGTGACAGTAGGCACAACACGGGCCTGGCACCTTGTGAGTTCGAAGCTTGTCTCAGATGCCTCCGTCCCTTAGGGTCGGGCTCAGGTGCCCAGATGGAAGGGCTGCAGCTCTGTTCCTGGGGTCCTCAGTTTTGGAATCTTAGAAGCCTGAGTCCCTAGAACTCAAGAGCACAGTGTCAAAGCCTCAGAGGCAAGGGTGTTGGGACTGGGGGAATCGGGATGAGTCCTGAAAGACCCTCTATCTCCCTAGTTCACAGACGAGGAGACCGAGGCCCAGACAGGGGAAGGAAGTTGGCCCAGGTCACCCAGCAAGTCAGTGGTAGAGGTAGGACTGCCCCCGAGTTCTTTCCCCCAGCATCTCAGGATCCCCCCAGAAGTCAGGAGGGGACCCCAGTTTGCCCCTCTCCTCCCCAACCCCACCCCACCCCACCCCATTGTCCGGCCAGGATCTGCCGAGGACTGTGATCGCTGTGTACAAGTGCCGACTGCCAGGTCAGGGAAGCTAGCTGAGATGCGAGTTCCCCAGCCCAGAGCAGCGGCCTTGGGGCATCTGGGGTGGACTGAGGGGCAAGGCCAGGGTGGCAGCAGCCTTGGGGACTCTAGGCTGGCCCCTTCCCCATGGCATTGGCGGAAGCCCTGGCGATCTCTAACCCGTCCTGTCTCTCCCTCTCGTCTTCCCCAGGGCATCTCCTCCCAACCAGGCAACTCCCCGAGTGGCACAGTGGTGTGAAGCCCTGGATGTCGGGGTCCCCCACCCATGCCCCCAGCCTTCTAGCCATAACCCTCCCCGCGACCTCACGGATCGACGTATTAACAAGACTAACCATGACTGATGGACTGCTCCGGTCCCCTGCCCTGTGCAAATTTTCGGGGTCCCCCAGACTCACCAAGACCTTGGGGGGATGTAGTGGCCCTTGTGGCCTCAGCCTTGTCCCCACCCACTGCCAAGTACAATGACCCCTTCCTCTGAAACATCAGTGTTACCCTCCTCCCTGTCCCCAGCATGTGACTGGTCACTCCTAGCAGGGAAACTCCCCACCCACGAGAGCCCCAGCTCTGCAGCGCGCCCTCGGTTGAGAGGCCGGGGCAGGGGGTGGCCCACCCCTCGCCTGGCCCCCGCCCCCCTCCCTTGCTATTGTCTGTGCTTTTGAAGAGTGTTAAATTATGGAAGCCCCTCAGGACCTTCCCTGTCCCCCAGGACCTCTTATTTATACTAAAGTTCCCTGTTTTCACAGCGCTCTGTTCCCTTTGGAGGTGGCATAGAGGACGTGTGTGTGCTTTGCTGTCCTAAAATCAGCCCACTTTAACCAAAGGAAGAGGGCAGGCTGCCTCCCCGGCCTGGCATCTCCCGCCCACTTTTAATAGCAGGAAAAGTTGAAACCCGGGGAGGGAACGGAAGGGACGAGGGCAAGGCACAAAGCTGGTGACCGAGTGCCAGCGGGCCCTTGGAAAGCAGAAAAGCATCCCTGTCCCCATTGTCTCGAGAGGAGAGGGCAGCCAGGCCCCCCCTTCAGAGTCATGTCAAAACTCCAAATCAGGTACTCCAGGGGCCTGTGGGAGGTCCCAGTCTTCGTGTCCTGGTGCCTCAGGCGTGACCCCGCCGAGGCCCAGGTGCCTGGAGCCAGCTGGAGGCCATGATTTCCACTCGGGAGAACTGTCCACCCAGGAAAGAAAAGCTAAAGTCCCTCCTGGCTGGCGGGAGCTTTGGGGAGTGGTGTCTTCCTGCTCCACCCTCCGCCCCCCCGAAATGTTTCTGTTTCTAATCCCAGCCCGGGCAGGAATGTGGCTGCCCGGCCAGGGGCCAAGAAGCTATTTTGGGGTCTCCTTTGCCTGGGGGGGGCCTGCTCCACCGCTTGCCTCTGCCAGGCTTTGGGCAGCGGGTCACCCCTGGTTCTGGCTCCTGTGGGTGTCCCCTCCCAATCCTCTCCTCACCCTCCCTTCCCCACCTCCTGCCAAAAAAAGAGTAAAACAGAGGGCCCAAGGGCTAAATTTAACTGTCCCAAAGTCGGAATCCGTGGCTGAGTCACCGAGAAGCTGCCCTGCCTCCTGCCCCCCTTCCCAGGCTTCAACCCCTTCTCCCCCGAGCTCTGGGGCTTGGCGAGAGCGAGGCGGGGTGGGTACTGGATCACTCTGGGCCTTGATTGGCCCCTCCAGGCAATGGGGGGGTGCTTGTTTTGGAATCTCACACCTGTAGCTCTCTTCCATGCCCTGCCTTTTTGCTGGAGGGGGCAGCGAGAGGGCTGAGATTCTCGTCCTCCATCGTCCATGAGCTCTAACCCCCAGTCTGGCACTGAGGGTTCTGCGGGCCCTGGAAGGAGGTGGGGGCTGGCTTGTGAGGGGTTAAGGCTGGGAGGCGGGAGGGGGGCTGGACCAAGGGGTGGGGAGAGGAGGAGGCAGTGGAGAGAAGTGGCCAGAGAGGCCCAGGGGACAGCCAGGGACAGGCAGACATGCGGCCAGGGCTCTGGGGCCTGGGCAGGGGCTGCCAGGCCCCGTGACAGGAGGACCTGAGCCCCTGGCCTGGGGAGGGGGCCATGGTGCTACCTGGCTGACATGTCAGCCGAGGTGCGGCTAAGTCAGCTCCGGCAGCTGGCGCTGGACCCCGGCTTCCTGGGGCTGGAGCCCCTGCTCGACCTTCTCCTGGGCGTCCACCAAGAGCTGGGCGCCTCCGACCTGACCCAGGACAAGTACGTGGCCGACTTCTTGCAGTGGGGTGAGTGCCTGCCTGCCCGGGCTCCCCCAGATCGGGTGGAGAGGCAGAGGCAGGAGATGGGGCTGGATGCAGGGGCCTGGCCGCTGGGGGGCAGGATGGACATGGGGAGATCCTCCTATTCCGGGGCCCAGAGCTTGGACTCGGGTCCTGGGGCAACATGCCCCTACCCCGTGTCACCCTAGGGGCAGAGTAAGGTCAGCAGAGGCCAGGACAGCCATGACTCAGAACCTCAGCTTGCGAGTCACAGCAGGCTGGGCTGGGCACAGCCTCCCATGGTCTCCTGCACCCCCTCCCTGAGTCTAGGCCTAGGGACCCTCCCCCCAATAGGGGCCCTGTGGTCCTCACCCCTGGATTCCCACAACACGGGCAGGCCAGGAGGGACAGCATGTGGCAGCTGCCAAGGGTGCGGCTGACAGACAGGTGTTCGGCGCCAGCCTCTCCAGCTGCCCCAACAGGTGCCCAGGCACTGGGAGGGTGCAGTGACTCACACGGGCCCTGGGGGAGCACCAGCTCCGCAGACAGGCGCCACCGGCACTCCTTCCATCCCCTGGATTGAGGAGGAACGACTTCGGGTTCCTCTGGGTGTGCCTCTTTTCTCTGTAGGTCCTACCGCCTGTCCCCAAGTCTTGGTCCCTACTAGCCTGCGTGGGTCAGCCCGCCATTCCCTCCGGCTCCCCACGTCTTGTAGTTCTGGTTCAGGACCTCCAAGCTTCTAGCTGTCCCACGAAGTCCCTTCTTTTGAGGTCTTTCCAGGGTCTAGGGACAGGTCCAGGGGGATGGTGCCTCAACTTCAGCTTCCTGCCTTGTCTGCCCCCTCCCCACCCTTGGTCCAGGATTCCGGTTCACATTCCTGTTACCCCTAATGCCCTGCCACTCTGGCCCTCTACATGCCTGGCCCTCAGTGGCTTGCTCTTGGTCTTCTGCCTGTGTGTGTCACTGTCTGTCCGCCTTCTGCTGCTCCCTCTTGTCCTGCGTGCGTCTCTTTTGACCCAGGCTCTGCTCCTCTCTCTCCTCCCCCATTTCACAGATGGGAAGGTGGAGGCCCAGGGCCAGGCCACTCTGCCTCTGCAAGAACCTTCCCCCACTGCCCCCGAGCCTTTATGACTCTCCCAGCCTCCCTCATGCAGAGGATGAAGTCGGGCTGGGAGGGTAAACTGAGACCCGGGGTGGGGGTAGGGGTCTGGCAGTCCTATGAGGAGCACTCCTTTTGTGGCTTGAGCTGCATCCTGCGGCCCCTCCCCTGCCAGGCCTCCCGGGCGGGGGAGGGGGCCTGGGTTCCCGCTGCCTTAAAAGGGCTCAATGCCTTGGCGCTCCCTCCCTCCCCCGTCCTTAGCCCTGGCTGGTTCTTCCCTGCCGGCCCACTCTCCCTGAAACCCCAGAACCCCACGGGCCCGGCTCCTCCATAACTCACTGTGTCTCCCCTCTTTCCCGCTCACACCCATCCCTCTCTCCATCCTGCCTCCACTTCTCCCACCCCCTAGGAGTCCAGGCCTCTCTCCCCACAGTCCCTGAGTCTCTGGCCTCCACCCTGACCTGTCCTCCTCCCAAACTGCCCGGTTTAATGTTCCTAGCTGTAGGACCTTAGCCCCTCGGAGCCCTGATCGCCATCTGTGACTAAGGGGTAGTGCTGAAGTCCTCCTGGAGTTGGTGGGAGCTCTTGAGTCCAGGATGGGTGCCCAGGCTGTGTTTGTCTCCTCCTATTCCTTCCCCCAGCCCCAAATCCAGGGTTTCCCAAAGTGTGGTGCAAGAGCCCCCTGCATCTGAACCTAGAGGTACTGGTACAACTGCAGATTCTGGGCCATAGCCCAGGACATGCTAACCGAGAGCCTCGGGGTGGGGCCCGGAAGCATCACCTGGAGGTGGGGAGGAGGCCTGAGCCCAGCAGGTCTAAGGGTCTTATTTCCTCTCCTCGTTCTTCAGCGTCTCCCCTTCTGCAGACATTTGTTAGCCCACCCCCTCCATCCAGCCGCCACTGGAGCTGTCTGGCCCAATGCCCTGTCCCCAAAATGAGTTCCTAGGCATCTCACCTCTATGGGAGGGCAGTTTTGGGTCCCCAAAACCTCACAGTGTTTATTTATGTGGGGATGTCCTTGGGAGACAGTCCTAAGGTGAAGCTGAGAGGCAGAGAGAAGGAAGACTAAGGAACAAAGGGCGCGACTTCCCCCTAGTCTCTAGTGTCCGTCTTAGTGACCCTGGGTTCTTCTCCTCCACCCCCCAGCGGAGCCCATCGTGGGGAAGCTTAAGGAGGTCCGACTGCAGAGGGATGACTTCGAGATTCTGAAAGTGATCGGACGCGGGGCGTTCAGCGAGGTGAGCCCTGAGTGGCGGCGGGAACTCTGCCCAGCGGGAATTGGGCTTTACTTATGGTGGGCGGGGCATAGGAGTTCTGGGGCGGGGCCTTAGAAATTGATGAATGACTGAACCTTACAGCCTAGGACTGGGCGGGGCTGGGGGCGGGACTTGGGCATTGGGCATGGTGCACGGGGGCGGGGCCATAGCTGGGTGGAGCTGGAGGCGGAGTCTGGTCTGGGAGCCCTTCTGTTTTCTCCACCACCTCCGCCCCTGTCATCCTGTTTCGGCCTTCAGGTAGCGGTGGTGAAGATGAAGCAGACGGGCCAGGTGTACGCCATGAAGATCATGAATAAGTGGGACATGCTGAAGAGAGGCGAGGTGAGGGGCAGGGTTGTGTGGGGGCCTGGAGGGTCTGCCCCCCGCACCGGCTGCAGCTCCTCGGGGTGCCCTGCAGGTCTCGTGCTTCCGTGAAGAGAGGGACGTGTTAGTGAATGGGGACCGGCGCTGGATCACGCAGCTGCACTTCGCCTTCCAGGATGAGAACTACCTGGTGAGCCCCAGGCCCGGGTGGCCAGGAAGAGAGACAGCCTCCCACGCTGTCAGTTAACCAGCGGGCGGCGGTGGGGGGAAGAAGCTCTGGGATTGGGGGAGCTGCCCGATGCCTGCGGGGCCGTCTCTGTGTGTGGTAGGAACTTGTCTCAGGTAGAAGAGGGGCCTCTTTACCTGGGAACCTGGGAAGGGAGATGATGTCCCTTACTGTTCTTTTCCTGGGCTGATTCTTGGGGACCCTTGTATAAAAGATGCCTCTGGGCCGGGCGCGGTGGCTCACGCCTGTAATCCTAGCTCTCTGGGAGGCCGAGGCGGGCGGATTGTTTGAGCTCAGGAGTTCAAGA